GAGGACCAGATTCAACTGTTTTAGATTTTTCTACCTGGATTATTGAGCAGCTTCAGGACATGCTCACAACAGTTTGATGAAGGTCAGAGTTGGACTTTTATTGTACATACTTCATATACATTATATATTTAATAATTTTGTCAGATTTTTCAGAACTCTGTATATTAATGACTCGTAATCTGAAGGGACTTTTATTTAAGGCTGTCAAAAAAACAACTTTAATTCAATGTCACGTTATTTTTGATTCGAGCTACAAAAAGGGCCACAGGTCGCAGACCTCTGCTCAGACAGATCATGTGACCATTGCAACGTCACAGACAGACAGGAAGTTACAGAGCAGACAGACAGAAAGTCAGTGGGCAGACAAACAGGAAGTTACAGAGCAGACAGACAGGAAGTCATTGGGCAGACAAACAGGAAGTTAGTGGGCACAGACAGGAAGTTACTGAGCAGACAGACAGGTAGTTACTGAGCAGACAGGAAGTTAGTGGGCAGACATACAGGAAGTCAGTGGGCAGACACACAGGAAGTCAGTGGGCAGACACACAGGAAGTCAGTGGCACTTCCTGGCAATGGGGATGGCCTTCAGCAGCCAGAAGTCCGTCACGCAGCTCGGCAGGTAAGACATCGGCAGCCAGAAGAGCTTGGCGTCCCAGCCGGGGGAGTAACGTTTGCGAGGCCAGACGGCAGACACGGCGTGCTCCATGCAGCTGACCACCTTCATCAGGTCGGCGTCGCACACCTTCTCCATCCTCTCTTGCATCAACTTCACCGCTGCAGGAGACAACAGGGGGGTTAGAACTAGCCTGGGCTAGAACCGGCCCGGACAGGGAGAAGACGTGCCACACGTACCATTTGACACATATTCACTCCCGTAGTCGTCCTTGACATCCTGCGGCAGCCGGTCCCACAGCATCCTGATGTTCCGGATGTGGAGCTCGCTGTTGGTCATGTTGGTTCTGAAGCCGCCTGGCTCAATGCAGAGGACTTTGACACCGAAGGCGGCCATGTTGAGCCTGAGGAGGGCGTTTGGGTCAGTCTGAGCCTACGAGCTGAGACAAGGCGGCGACTGGCTCACCTCAGGCTGTCGTTGAAGGCCTCCACGCCGTACTTGGACACGCAGTACGGGCCCCCCACGGGGCTGATCCTCCCACACACGCTGGCCACGTTCACCACCCGGCCCCGGGCCTTCTTGATGAGCGGCAGGACGCTCAGCGTGACCCCGATCACCCCGTTCAGGTTCACGTTCAGCATGGACTTGTAGTCCTCCAGCGTGAGCCAGTCGCACAGGCCCGAGGGCATGGCCACGCCCGCGTTGTTCACCACGGCCCAGAGACCTGCAGGACCAGGACCAGAGGGTCACAGGTCCACAGAAAACTGGGAACACTGAAAGGTTGAGAGTCTGGAGGAAGGAGCCTCACCTTGTTCCCCCACCTGGTCCCGGATCATGGCGGTCACCTTGTCCACGCTCTCCTGGGAGTTGACGTCCAGGTGGACCGCCGTCAGGTTCCTGGAGCAGCTCTTCCTCAGCTCCTCCTCGCCTCTCTCTGTGAAGCAGCCCGCGATCACCCGAAAGCCCAACTGGTCCAGGTGCCGGGCCAGGAGGTTCCCGAAGCCCGAGTCGCAGCCCGTAATGTACACGGACTTGTTGGCCTTATCGGAGACCCGGGGCCGCTCCCGGACCCAACGGAACAAGTAGTAGAGGCCCAGCAGGCCCAGAAGGTACAGGAACATGTCTGCAACCAGTTCAGGAGCTTCAAACAATGCTGTGGAAAAAACATTTTATTTCTGAAACAAACTCAACCAGAACTCTGGACCGGGCCATCAAGACCGTTCTGCAGCTGAATCTGAACTACATTACCCACAATCCCTCAGCTGGAGACAGGACAACTCTACAGCGCCTTTGTTTAAAGTTAGCACGGAGTCGTCGGCTGCGACACGTTGAAATGTTACAACAATCGTAACAATGTAAAAGTTTAAAGCGCTCCGTCAGCTCGTTGGTTATTTAAAGACGAGTTCTCAGAACGTCGAGGCGCTGGTTCCTGTCGGTCACTGTGACCGGATGACGAGCAGCGTTAGGTGGTTCTACGAAGCCAGCCCGGTTCTGTCACGCTCCGGACCTGTGGGTCCAATGAGCAGTCGGGTCACAAAGCGGTCCAAACAGCACACGTATTTAGTTTTATTAATTAACCGACGTTTCATTAATGTTTGATAAACCCGAGCTCACCCGTAACCATAGTTTCCACTTGCTGATCCTTTCAAATTAAAAGTACGACGGCACAAACTGGCTGGGATGCTCCTGACTCACTTTGTTCATCAACTCTTGTCAATAAAGTTTGTTTTAATGTTCAGATGGCTGTGTTGCAATCGTTTTAATTTGAAATGTGAATTTTAACAGCTGAGGCTAATGCTAACAGCTGAGCTTTAGCCTCAGCTAACGGGGGTAGCAGCCTAAGTAGGGAGGCCCAGACCTCCTTCTCCCAAGCCACTTGGGCCAGCTCCTCCGGGGATTCCTGAGGCATTCCAAGGCCAGCTGAGAAACATAGTCCCTCCAGCATGTCCTGGGTCTTCCTCTGGGTCTCTTCCCAGTGGGACGTGTCTGGAACACCTCACCAGGGAGGCGTCCAGGAGGCATCCTAACCAAATGCCCGAGCCACTTCAACTGGCTCCTCTCGACGTGGAGAAGCAGCAGCTCTACTCTGAGTTCCTCCCGGATGATCGAGCTTCTCACCCTATCTTTAAGGGAGAGCCCAGACACCCTGCGGAGAAAACTAATTTCTGCAGCTTGTATCCGAGATCTCGTTCTTTCGGTCACAACCCAAATCTCGTGACCATAGATGAGGGTAGGAACGTAGATTGATCGGTAAATTGAGAGCTTCGCCTTTTGACTCAGCTCTCTCTTCACCGACAGACCTGTACAGCGCCCGCTTCACTGCAGACGCTGCACCTATCCTCCTATTGATCTCACGCTCCATTTTTCCCTCATTCGTGAACAACACCCCAAGATACTTGAACTCCTCCACTTGGGGCAGGACCTCCTCCCTGACCCGGAGAGGGCATGCTACCCTTTTCCGGCTCAAGACCATGGCCTCGGATTTGGAGGAACTGATCTTCATCCCGGCCATGTCGCATTCTGCTGCGAACCGCTCCAGGGAAAGCTGTAGATCACGATCTGATGAAGCCAACAAGACCACATCATCTGCAAAAAGCAGACACACAATCCTAAGGCCACCAAAACCGATCCCCTCGACACCTTGGCTGCGTCTAGAAATTCTGTCCATAAAAGTTATGAACAGAATTGGTGACAAAGGGCAACCTTGGCGAAGTCCAACTCTCACCGGGAACGAGCCCGACTTACTGCCGGCAATGCGGACTAGGCTCTGACACCAGTCATACAGGGACCTAACAGCCCGTATCAAAGGGCCTGGTACCCCATACTCCCAAAGTACCTCTCACAGGGTTCCCTGAGGAACGAGGTCGAACGCCTTCTCCAAGTCCACAAAGCACATATAGACTGGTTGGGCAAACTCCCACGCACCCTCCAGGACCCTGCTGAGAGTGTAGAGCTGGTCCAGTGTTCGATGACCATGACAAAACCGCACTGCTCCTCCTGAATCCGAGGTTCGACTATCCGACCGACCCTCCTCTCCAGAACCCCCGAATAGACCTTACCAGGGAGGCTTAAGAGTGTGATCCCCCTGTAGTTGGAACAAACTCTACAGTCCCCCTTTTTGAATAGGGGGCCCACCACCCCGGTCTGCCAATCCAGGGGAACTTCCCCCGATGTCCCCGAATAGTACAACATTCAGAGCCTTAAGGAAGTCTGGGCGAATCTCATCCACCCCCGGGGCCCTGCCACCGAGGAGCTTTTTAACCACCTCGGTGACCTCAGCACCAGAGATTGGAGGGCCCGACCCAAAGTCCCCAGGCTCCGCTTCCTTAGTGAAAGACGTGCCGGTGGGATTGAGGAAGTCTTCAAAGTATTCTGCCCACCGACCCACGACATCCTAAGTTGAGGTCAGCAGCATACCACCCCCACTACAAAAAGTGTTGGTGGTGTACCGCTTTCCCCCACTGAGACGCCGGATGGTGGACCAGAATCGCCTCGAAGCTGTGCGTAAGTCATTCTCCATGGCCTCTCCAAACTCCTCCCATGCCTGAGTTTTTGCCTCAGCGACCACCCGGCAGTCCAAGCGACTCGGCATGTCGCTTGGACTGCCGGTACCCACCAGCTGCTTCCGGGGTCCCACAGACCAAAAAGGCCCGATAGGACACCTTCTTCAGCCTGACAGCATCCCTCACCGACGGTGTCCACCACCGGGTTCGAGAATTGCCGCAGCGACAGGCACCGACAACCTTGTGGCCGCAGCTCTGGTAAGCCGCCTCGACAATAGAGGCACGGAACATGGCTCACTCGGACTCAATGTCCCCTACCTCCCCCGGAACATGTTCAAAGTTCTCCCGGAGGTGGGAGTTAAAGCTTCGTCTCACAGGAGACTCTGCCAGACGTTCCCAGCAAACCCTCACAATATGTTTGGGCCTGCCAGATCTGTCCGGCATCCTCCCCCACCATCGGAGCCAACTCACCACCAGGTAGTGATCAGTAGACAGCTCTGCCCCTCTCTTCACCCGAGTGTCCAAGACATGTGGCCGCAGATCAGACGAGACGGCGATAAAGTCGATCATCGACCTGCGGCCTAGAGTGTCCTGGTGCCAAGAGCACATATGGACACCCTTATGCTTGAACATGGTTTTTGTTATGGACAATCCATGACGAGCACACAAGTCCAACAACAGAACACCACTCGGGTTCAGATCAGGGGGGCCGTTCTTCCCAACCACACCCCTCCAGGTCTCACTGTCATTGCCCACGTGAGCATTGAAGTCCCCCCAGCAAAACAAGGGAGTCCCCAGGAGGTGCACTTTCCAGTACCCCCTCCAAGGACTCCAAAATGGGCAAATAATCTGAACTGCCGTTTGGTGCATAAGCACAAATGACAGTCAGAACCCGTCCCCCCACACGTTGGCGGAGGGAGGCCACCCTCTCATTCACTGGGGTGAACCCCAACACACAGGCACCAAGATGGGGGGCAATAAGTACGCCCACGCCTGCTCGGCGCCTCTCACCAGGGGCAACTCCAGAGTGGAACATCGAGTCCATTTATTTTGCTCATCATTGGGGTGTTTGGGCTGCACTTTGTCTGGTCCCTCCCCTAGGACCTGTCTGCCTTGGATGACCCCACTAGGGGCGTGAAGCCCCTGACAGCATAGCTCCTAGGATCATTGGGACACTCAGACCCAATCTCCTCTGTGGTCCACACTGCACTCAACCACCTGGAGCAGAAA